AGAGAGAGAGAGAGAGAGAGAGAGAGAGAGAGAGAGAGAGAGAGAGAGAGAGAGAGAGAGAGAGAGAGAGAGAGGAGAGAGAGAGAGAGAGAGGGAGAGAGAGAGAGAGGAGAGAGAAGAGAGAGAGAGAGAGAGAGAGAGAGAGAGAGAGAGAGAGAGAGAGAGAGAAGGAGGGAGAGAGAGAGAGAGAGAGAGAGAGAGAGAGAGAGAGAGAGAGAGAGAGAGAGAGAGAGAGAGAGAGAGAGAGAGAGAGCTCCTATTTTATGAATTACTGACATGATTTTCGTAAAATAATTTTCGATAGTCTACGTCGCTCAGAACCAATAACACTCTCAAGTTGCCTTAACAAACTCTAATAGCTGGTAACTTAAATATCAACATGAATACTTGACAACACTTTTCATGGGAAAGTTTTTTTTTTATAAAGTGACAGCTAAGTAAATAAGATTTTATCCTCGTGTCATATATTTTTTCATCAAGCCTTAAAAATATTAGGCCCTTCAAGAGTGCTCAGGGAAAACGAGAACTGACAAATGGTAAAGTGTTGTTAAGAAAGAAACCTGTTGATTAAATGATGAATACTGCAATTATATATGCCGACCTGCCACAAGATTAAGCATATAATACGCCTGATAAGTTATGAAAATCCTCCGGTAAAGAGTCTTCGTGACTCAAGACAACGCACTCGAATTACATTTTCAGAGAAAACAATATTCTTCTGGATTACATCATTATCATACTTTCCCTAAATATAAAATAAAATGTATTCGAAAGCGATTGCCAAATGCTACCATTTCCTTCCGGCAGAGCACATCGAATTCACGCCATTTTGGTAGGAATTCGATATGCTTTGCCAGATGATACATTATTAGTATGATGTATTATCAAATGAACAAACCACTATATTCTATCCATTTGTAGATATCAATAAAGAGGAAGTATTTTTTCTATCTTTTTTTTTCCCGAAACCACATCATAGGTTGTTAATGGATGATTTATGCGTCTACGGCAGCACGAAGGTGTTATTTCATATTTTCTGTTTATAATATTCATCATGTTTCAAAATGATATGATTTTATAAATATATTCTGTGAATGGATGCAGATATATAGACATACTGTAGATGTAGAGAAGCAGATATATTGTATATTTTTTATAAGCATTTCATTTGGTAACTTAAATGCATTTCTTAGTGAAGTGAAAAGACAGTAACTTATATCAATATATATCTGTATCTATATATCTATATCTATCTATCTATCTATCTATCTACATATATGTTCCTTATCATTAGATTCTATTAGATAAGAAAAATGCAAATAAATAATCAGGAAATTCAATTACTCTCTTCAGCTTTCACTCGCGAACGCAAAATATTGCCAGTTTCTTACCGAAAGGCACCGACTCCCGCACCCATCGCTCTCATGATTAGTTTTACTGTAGTTTTGCCTTCTCCCCCCTACGCACACACAAATACAAATACTTACGATAGCAGAAACAATAAATAAATAAATCAATAAATAAACAGATAATAAAAAATACAAATATATATTCATAAGCAGAGTCAAAATCGAACATACACAAACACAAAGACAAACCTAAACAAGCACATAAACACAAACTGCAGCGTACAAACACAGCGAATATAAAGATTTCAACCCACAAACCACAAGCACAATCAAACATAACATAAACCCACACCTAAATAAAACAAAACGCCCTCCTCATACTATCAGACAGGCACTTCTTAGCACAAAAAACATACACATATGAATCCTCAAATCATAAACAAAAAATACATTATACATACATTAAAACACATAAAAAACAAAATCAACACGCAAAGTATAAAGACAAACAAGTGCACGCAAACACAAATACACACCCAAGGACCCCACATATTCACACAAGCATAAACATAACCAAAAACACAAAATAAGTATTAAACACAAATGAATAAAGGTACATACAAAATAAACACAATAAAAAATTACCTCATAAACATACACAAACCAGTACAAACACACATAAATAATATCCTTACCAAAACAAATGCAATCTTACAACGAAACAAACGCACAAACAAACACAAACTATATGCAGACACATTTAAAGAGTCACAGAAGCACAAACCAAACACATACAAACACTAGCATACAAACCTATAAACAAAGAAATGCACATAAACAAGAATAGAGGGTATCATACAAACGTGTCACACATATGAACACCTACAACCACAACGCACAAACGAAAACAAAGCAATGAAAATCTTCCACAAATACAAAGAGCCACAACTGACCAACACACAAACATTTGAACCAAACACAGATAAACACAAACACAAACACTCACGCAAACACAAAGAAAAGCACACACCACTGCAAAATAGAAAAGAAAGTGAAGGGAATTGACTTCATACCGGCCTGAGCCTTCAACAATGCGGTTGTCCCATTTATCCGAGTTTTCTGAAATTTATGAGTATTAGGGACGTCCTAATTCCACGGTATGTTATACTTATGAACGTGCACTCGCACCTATAACCACAATGTGTACACACACACGCGCATTATATCTATCTATCTATCTGTCTATCTATCTATATACATATATATTTTAACACCCAATCATTCTACTGCAGGACAGAGGCCTCTCTCAATTCACTATTGAGAGGTTATATAACAGTGTCATCCTTGCCTGACTGGATTCCCTTCCTAATCAACCGCGGTTCGGCGCGCTAACACTTGTGCCACGGTTTGACTTCCCACCTGCGTTTGACTTCTCAAGGCGATTAGTCGTTTTCTCGACTATATATATATAGTAAGGATGAATAAGCAAATTAATAAATAGAAACAAAAAAGGAGTAAAAAAATCGTGTGTTGTGTTACATAAGGCGATGAATGGAATCCAATTATTTTTATTAGGTAGTTTCATACAGAGAGAGTGGGGTTATTTATTGTGTATACAAGCTATTGTCAGATAAAGAAAATATATGATGTTTTGTTGTATTGAACAACAAAAACTAGTTTAAAAAGTAGATTATTGTGTGCAGATGACATTGGTTGGATCTATCGGGCAGAAGGTTCACTAATTCACATCAATGGCTGAAACCCATGCCATAACCTCCAGACCTTAGTTATTATTAGTCATTTCCTCAGATGTAAGTAGATGGTGTGATATGTTTTACCTCAGTTATTACTGGGAAAATACGACAAAATGAAGAGAAGATTAGCAATTACATGAAAGTTGGTGGAGCCATTGACTGATACCACTCTGACGCGCTACTCTTGACATTCCTGATTGATGACGCTCCAGCGGGCTCGAGCGACCAGTCAGAGCGCAGGCATTTTTACGACCGTCGCGACGGGGAATATATATATATGTATATATATATATATATATATATATATATATATATATATATATATAAAATCGTGTGTTGTGTTACATAAGGCGATGAATGGAATCCAATTATTTTTATTAGGTAGTTTCATACAGAGAGAGTGGGGTTATTTATTGTGTATACAAGCTATTGTCAGATAAAGAAAATATATGATGTTTTGTTGTATTGAACTAACAAAAACTAGTTTAAAAAAGTAGATTATTGTGTGCAAGATGACATTGTTGGATCTATCGGGCGGAAGGTACACTAATTCACATCAATGGCTAAAACCCATGCCATAACCTCCCGACCTTAGTCATTATTAGTCATTTCCTCAGATGTAAGTAGATGGTGTGATATGTTTTAACCTCAGTTATTACTGGGAAAAATACGACAAAATGAAGAGAAGATTAGCAATTACATGAAAGCTTGGTGGAGCCATTGATTGATACCACTCTGACGCGCTACTCTTGACATTCCTGATTGATGAAGGCTCCACATATATATATATAAAGTGGTTACGAACATTAACATTCGGTAGAGAAAGTACGATGCGGAAAGCTGTTTGGCGGCGCAAGAAGATAAAATTCGCTTCCCGTAGAGAATGATCATAGTAAGGATAAATAAGCAAATTAATAAATAGAAACAAAAAATGAGTAAAAAAATCGTGTGTTGTGTTACATAAGGCGATGAATGGAATCCAATTATTTTTATTAGGTAGTTTCATACAGAGAGAGTGGGGTTATTTATTGTGTATACAAGCTATTGTCAGATAAAGAAAATATATGATGTTTTGTTGTATTGAACTACAAAAACTAGTTTAAAAAGTAGATTATTGTGTGCAAATGACATTGGTTGGATCTATCGGGCGGAAGGTACACTAATTCACATCAATGGCTAAAACCCATGCCATAACCTCCCGACCTTAGTCATTATTAGTCATTTCCTCAGATGTAAGTAGATGGTGTGATATGTTTTACCTCAGTTATTACTGGGAAAATACGACAAAATGAAGAGAAGATTAGCAATTACATGAAAGCTGGTGGAGCCATTGACTGATACCACTCTGACGCGCTACTCTTGACATTCCTGATTGATGACGCTCCAGCGAATTGGCCTTAGTGCCGTGTTTATCCGTGATTAAGGCCGTGATTAAGAGGTTGCGAAGGTACAGTGGTCGCAGATTCAGTATTACGTGGATATTTTTGGGCCATGTGCGTCTGTACAAGAAGCCTAATTTATAGTTTATCTGAAAAAAGGGAGCGACAGACACAAAACACACAGAAAGACAGATTGGGATAGAAATATATACATACATGCATATATATATATACATACATATATATATATATATATATATATATATATATATATATATATACACACACACACACACACACATACACACATGTATTTATATGTATATATATATATGCGTGTGTGTGTGTGTGTGTCTGGAGAGATAGAGAGAGAATGAACATCGATATGTTATATACGGTATATATGAATGCCGGTTTGGAGAACCATGCCATCAGTGCATACAATTTTACAGAGTTCTTGGATAGAACCTTTGGCGCACTTGGTACTTGATTAAAGGAACGGGAGAAAGGACACACAGTTTAAGCACTAATGACTAGTTTATTCATGTGAAAATACAACAAATGGCTGTCGTAAATTACTGTAATATGGAATTTCATATTTACAAACACATAAAGCTGGGCAGCAACACAATAAAAACATAACCGGGACGGAGAAGCGAGAATCACCTATTTACATATACGTTAATGACACTTAAGGTATATTTATATATATGTGGTTACTGAGTCCTGTAATGCGATTTTCTCTCTTAATAATTGTTATCCTATTATATATACTACAAATGCACATACGATTATGAAAATATAAAAATAATCACACCCATTCCATGTACAGGACAATTTGATATCTATTGTAGTTCGTCTCCTCAAACAACTCAATAGATATTTAAATTTTGTGCTTGGTTGAGCCGACAGGCAAAAAAAGAAAGAAAAAAAAAAGAAAAAAAAAAAAAGGGAGAGAGAGAAAAGAAAGAAGGAAAGGAAAAATATATAGTAAAGATGTCAACCCGATTCTTGTTCCTCATGCTTCATTGAGGATCAAAATTCGGATCTCGAAATTCTTACTGAACAAAAATTAAATATCTGAAAAATGTTAAATGGTCTTGTTTGTCTTAAACATCACATTACATGCAACGGACATACATGCAATGAACTTAAGTCCTCTACAGGCGTAAACACAATTAATTGTGGTGCAAAAATGGCTTTACAAAGCTCATTGCAATTATGCAGTGTGACTTGATGCTAACATAAATATCAATATGAAACTCATATTCATAATCAAACATATATAATCATGTATTTATATAAACAGACATACAGCTAGTTTTATATATGCACCTTATTATTCCATTACACTGTTGATGTAGCTTCTATTTCGTCTAGATTTCTATTTGATGCTGAACTTCTTTCGCCACTGCGCCTGACTTCGACTTCACAGACTACAATAGCTTCCCCTCGACCGAAAGTCTTCATTTCCTGGCACAGAATGCCGTTTTCTTTGATCAATTTCTCGTTTTCTTCGGGAATCTGACTCTCGTGTTCTCTCAGAGCGTCTCCTTTCGCCTTCTTCTTAGCTTTTGATTCGTGGAGAGCCTGCTTGAGAATCTTCTCCTGCTCGGGAGTAAAGGGCAGTCTGGTGTAGCAGTTCTTGATAGGATGCGGCGAGCCGGCCTGTTTGACGATGCCGCTTGGCCCGTCGTCGTCCTCGCCGCCGTCGTTGTTGGCGTGGGCGTGATCGGAACTTTCGTCGTCGCTGTGGGTGCTGTGACTCATCTCCTGCACCGTGCTCAGTCGTTCCGTCTCGGCGCAGCATGTCTCTGGCTTAGTCGGCGTTCTGAAGCGAGAACGACAAGAACTTGCTACTCCACGCTACACCAATCTCTGTATGTTCATGCCGGTAAGAGTAACATGCTCTATGGAACTAGGAATATCGTCCGAGTGCAAGCCATTCAAGATGCTTAGAAACAGATTATGAATCCATCATGCATTTTAGCTGGCGTTGTTGCAAACAGTGTTTTTATCTAGGTTATATAACTACCACATGGTTATCTATTGTCACTAAAATATTCCACTAAACGATATGATGTTACGAGAGCGATAGCTGTCAAGATTTTAGGTACAGGCTGTAGAGGAAACTGCCATGCTGTCATAGCGATCGTATTTTAGTTGTCGTTTTAGTGATGGATGTAACTGTACTTGCAGTAATTGCAACATCAGAAACAGTTAAAAGTTAAAGTGTCACACAGATTGTTGTTGCTGTTCTAGTTGCAATAATGACTTATTGGTAAATTAATAATTTTTTTTTTGTTTTTATTGTATCGATCGTATCCGGATCTTTGCAGAAGTTATATATATAAATCGTGGTAGCAACATTAATTCACTGTACTGTATGTGGTAGCAATAGTATGGTTGTAGCTGTAGAAGTGGTAGCAGGAATAGCAGATGCAGAAGCAGAAGTAGCAGAAAAAGTAGTATATTGGTCGGTCGAACAGGCGTAACACCAGGCAAGATAAGACCTAATAACACTTCTGTGAGTAGGTATCCCTCAGCCAGAAGACAAGGAAAGGTGACAGATAAAAGGGACACAGAATCCTCCACCATAAACACATACCCCAATAAAGGGCAAACATATAATGAACACACACATACACGCAATCATATAATGTAAGTCATTAGTTTTGTGTTTACCTGGAAGGCGACACACTCCTCTGAAGGGAGTCCTGTGAGCCTCCTACCATAGTCCCAAGAAGAGATCCATTGTTGCTTTGCTGCGACGCCCGGGCTGTCCGCGTCAGGTCACAGAGGGTAATCTGGGTCAGAGTTGAATTACGGTGGTTAGGCGCGTTGACCACCGTGTTGTGGGGGAAAGTGTTGTTCACAGAGGAATACGCGCCCTTATAC